ACAAGCAGAGTAAGGAAAACAACATACGCACAACAATGTCTCAAAGGGCTGTTTTATATAATCCCATTGTCAACTCTCCCCCCACAAATTGGTGGAATATGCGGCACGAAGAGCAGCCGACCGCTCGATAATTTGCAGTGTGTTTTAGAATACAACGCAAAATTTGGAAGCAAAATCCTTCCTGTTTGTTTTGTTTCGTAGATAACTGGTTAGGTGACTGTTAGATTTACCGACGACGGGCACCGTGTCATTAAAATCACATGTCTGGAGGCTGGTCAGTAATAAAGAAAAACGCGAAATGTTATTAGCTGATACAGTCATCAGTAGGCTATTTTCTGCGTACTAGAATTTTCCTTCCTCAGAACCACTGCGTATTCTCGCCGATTTTGAACGCTTCACAGTTTTCTCTGTTCTGAACTGAGTACCCCAAAAATAAGTTCTGCCTCAACGTACGATTTTGTAGGGTTTGATGGTCGGGGTTTCTATAGTTAAATTGTATTTATTTTGTCACCCATCATAGTTCCAATCTCGGCACACAACACCCTAAATCATCCTTTTTCTTAACAGGTAGCTTGCAATTCGAGTGCTGTGGACTCCGTCGCCGTTCCAGCCGCCCCCCTTCCCCCCCTCCATTCTGGCTCAATTTCGTAAATCCAATGGTGTCCAATCTGCCCAACTACACGACAGAGACTCGCTCACGGCTTCCAATTGCAGGCCTTGCTTGTTTGATCGCGCTTTCTACGTCTTCGTTTGTAAAGTCACCGTCTATGTTCCCGGTCCAGCGCCGTCGACAACATCCCGCAATCGCATTCGCCCCCCGGGTCAAAATAAGTGTTCATCGGCTGAATCATCCTGCCAACGTTGTAAATTCCACTCTGGTTTCTCTTCCTCTTCTTCTTCTAGTGGTTGCTGCCATGTTGCATTCGGTGTCCTGTGTGGCGTGCCGTCTGCTTGCCAATGCATGCCAGAGGAGTCGTCGAGGAGACTCTTATCATTGCTGCTCCCCCCTCCGGGACTGCTGCCCACACCACCGTTACTTACTTCATTCTGATTCACCGGCTTCCCTTCTTCCACCCACCCACCCACCTGTTCTAGTCGACTGTTTTGCCGATCTTTGCTAAAACAAAAACGTTTTCGAATATTCCAGTTTACCATTTGCGTCTTTGTTGCCCCCTCCGCGTCGTACCATGCGCGTGCGCACACACAAACCATACTTCGCATTAGCGATTGTAGGTTTTACTGCATTTTTACAGTCACAAGTTTTTAAAGGCGTATTGTCTTTTCTTATTATGATGCGTGTAGACTGGGGGTTAGTCAGATGGGTCGGTGTGTCTGACTTCGTCCTAATAATGATATTTCGACCATCGACTATGCCGATGATATCGCTTTACTAGCTTCAAGCTTTGGCGATCTCCAGTCTATGGTGTCACGGGTGAATGAGGTCGCGA